AAGGCTTTTGAAAAACCATGTTTTTGCTTGTTTTTGTTATCATTTGGAAGTCTGCTTTCACATGATGAAATGTGATATTTAGAAGAGAAAAGAGGCTGCTTAGGGAACAACTGAAGACCAATTGTTAGTCTTTCATGGCTTAAGCCTCTTTTCATCCATTCAACAAACAATTATTGAGAGTACGTTTTGGGCCAAGTGCTGTGTTATGCTGTCTACATATTTATTTATAAAGGGTAGTGAGCCAGCTTCTCCTCATGTCAGGGAGGTGCAGTCTTGCAGTGCTCTCAAGGGAACCTAAAAGAGTTAACAGATCTCAGTAGGTAACACATGGCACCACCATCCACCGTCTTTTTCTTTGGGCAGTGTTACTAAAGAGGTCAAGATCTGGGTTTCTTCCCTGCCTGAATAGATCTGAATCTTGCTCAGCAATTTCAGACCACAGACCATACTTTCACTTAAACATCTAACCGCAGGGCCACAATCTGGAAATAGGGTATATTAGAGCGAATTTGTTACTGTCACTGATACATTGCATACTCACACTGTATGCCTTCATATCTGAAGGATCATACTTTATTTTTATTGCTATCAAGTCAGTTATATAGGAACTTAATATAAGGATCCAGTATCTAGAACTTAAATAACATTATTGATAAAATAGGTAATATCTATATAATATTTATCTGTCAAGCACTGTTACAAGTGCTTCATACATATTAACTCATTTTAGTTTTCACAGCAACTGTACAAGGAAGAGGCTATAATATTATCCCTATTTCACAGATCAGAAAACTGAGGCAGAGAGAAGTTATGTAACTTCCCATAGCTATTAAGTGGCAGAGCTAGGATGGAACCTAGGCAGTCCGGGTCCAGAACCTACATACCTGACAATTATGACACTTAGGTGAAAACCCACTGTTTTCACTCATCAAATCAACACACATCAGATGCTCTCTTTAGCTATTTGAAAATTAAATTAAATTCTCATTACAGAAAATTGTACTGATTGCTGCACTGTATTTTGTAAATAAACTTACAGTTAAACACATGGTCTTGAAATTGTAGTCAACAGGACTGTCTTGATAATTTCCATATCCTAGTAAATGACTCCTTGAAGCCCCAGATACCACAACCAGACATCCAAGCTATCTTCACTTGAGTTCCAACTTCCTTTGCAACCTTCTCCCCAGGTATTTTCCTCAATGGTCTTCTTTCCATTTCCCCTACATAAATTGTCTTCTTTCCACCTAATCACTTTAGCCTTTCCTTCTTTAAGTTTAGATAGTAACTAATGTTAGTGCATTTACCTGGATATCAATGGTAGGAATTATGGCATCTCCTCTATTGTTGATTTGAACTGTTAATAAAATCCTTGGTCATGATTTCACTTCTCACATGTTTGTGTCTTGACTTTTTGCCTTTTTAACAGGGCTCTAAGCTGCTTGAGGGCAAAGAGTATTATGCCTGAAATAAAAGGTTTAAGTTAGTTGTTTGTATATATTACAGTCATGATCCATCTGGAAATAAACATGGATCCTTCTCAGACTGAGAAGGAATGCTGAGGGCCATAATAAAATATTAGGAAGGGAGGGTTTGGTTTTAGATCAATAGATTAATTGGCTCAATTAGGATTTGTTCCATTGCTTTTCTTTATCTTCCCAACTCATCGAAATACGTTAATCAAGAAATACTTTTTGATGTCTCCTATACATGAAACAGGTTGAGTATAATGGTTTTTATCTAGTTATATATAACACATGGTTTTGGATTGCCAGGAATACACAATCTATTTGGGTTTCTGGATTTTATATCTATCTATAACATTTAACTAGCAATCTTAGGAATTAAGTAAGTACCAAAATGGCCCTGACCAGGTGAGAGTTTAGAGGGGGTTGGCAAGCCCAGTCTATTGAGGTGGGATTTAAGTTGGCGTAGAAGACTGAGCATCATTTAGAAAAATACAAAGAAGAGAGGAAGGGCATTTCAGGCAGTAAAATTACAATGAGAAAAAGAAAATGTGTTTGTGGCATGATTAGAAGACAATATACTGAACAGTTCAGTAAGGGAGGATATAAATTTTGAGGTTGGTCATGTAGGTTGGATTGTAGAAAACTATAAATATATAAGTATCAGATTCTTAGGCACTGGGAAGTCGGTAAAGGATTTTGAGCTTGACAGTGATATTACATGAAGGCTAGTTCAGGAGAATTAATCTGGCACTGTTGTGCAGGTGGACTGAAGAAAAAGTCAAGGTATTTGGTAAGTGATTATAAGAAAATTTAGATTAAAAGATTTTAGCATTTGAAGTGCTTTACTGGTACAATACGACCTCATTTAGGTAGAAGAGAAAACTGGGACCCAAGCAGGTAAAGAGAATGAACATGGTATAAGGTTTTTGTTTTCAAACTTTTATTTCTGTTCCAGATCACATATTTATAATTTTAAACAAATTTTGTTATCTTTAAAAATGAATTTAAAGGGAAAAGATTGAATTAAAGGCAGTTCTACCAAATGTCAAAGTATGTTTTTCAGCGATAAACACATTAAAAAGAGCATAGCTTAATAAAATGAATAAAAACTCAAGACTTTGCCATTCAATAGACTATTTGTCTTAGACATCAAAGCATCCTCTTAAATTTATGGAAAACAGTATGTTAATAAATAATTCCTAGCTATATTGCATTATTTGATAACCAGTCCTGTATTATTTCCATTACATTAAATGGTAGCAGTAAACATGAAAATGATGTCTCACGATTCGCTGGTGAACTTTATTATTTTGTTGCTTGATTTATCACTAAGACAGCTCGCATCATTTTCACATCATTTAATAGAGTCAACATGTTTGCAGGACTACTGACATTTCTGTTAGCTTTGAGTGGCTTTTAATGTTCATTTGCACTTGGGTAGGAACCAAAAAATCTCATCAAAAGACAATTGATCATTTCCATTAGGGAGTCATGATTTATGGATGGTGATATGTTTTCATTTGAGTCCAAGGTGAATAAGAAGGGAGAATACTCATAAAATCTGAAACTCTGGCCTGTGTGTTTGAGAAATTTCCTTAGTAATGATAACTTGAACCATTATTTCACCTTTTGTGAAATGAGTGATAATTTCCAAAGGCCAAAGGCCACCAACAGAGAGTGACATTTAACAAAGATCAGTTGTAATTTAATTGGTTTGGAGACATATTTCAGAGATTCTGCAATATTATAAAACTTCTCGAATACCACTTAAAACATAAAATCTTATAAAATTTGATGTACAGTTATTTAAAGCAGAACTCCCATCTACCCTTAAATTCAAGGATGCTGTTCTATAGCCAGAAGTTTATTCATGTGTTTATTCATATATTTATTCAGCAAATGTTTAATGAGTGCTTAAGTAACTGTGATGCAAGGTAAAAAGTGATAAAACCAAGAAAGAGATGTGCACATAGAATGCTAATGGACACAGGAAACTTCTGCTGTAGGCATTTGTAGTGCGGCTCAGTGACTTTTTACATAGGCTCCTGTGAAATTACAGAAGTCCCTCAATTCTTCCACCAGGACAGACCAAAGTGACTAAGAGATTTCACATACATTTTCAGTGCTGGTGTACATCTACCTGTAAATGCAATCCCTAGAAGTATAGTAGGAGAATAAAAAAATTATCAAAGTCAATGTCAAGGTTATTAGCTCACAAGCTCACTCTCTTTGCACATGTTATGATAGTTGAGGGTAACTGATCTCACTATTCTGGCCAATTTGAAATTTGGGAAAAATAGGCAAGATAGTTTTGATGGAACTTTGGCCCACTTTATTGAACTTTAAAATTAGCATCCTTTGGTGTACACACATTGACTTGAATCAAAAAGACATATGTGTGCATACATAGAGTCATGGGATTCAGTCTTGCAGTTATTATGGAAACACGGGTGAAGGTTCTGAGCCTGTGGAGTGCACTAACTCCTTACCTGGCAGCTTAATCCAGTGAAACTGTACAGCTAAATCTCGTGTGTGCATGTGTATGTGAACATGTGCACAGGGCTGTGCTTCCCTGATAGAAGCAAAGAAATGAAGGTAGTTAAGGGAAAGTGTCATTGGTGAAGGGTCTTAGTATAGATCCTTTAGGGTCTAAGGCCTTCCGCTGATGGCATTTTTGATTAAAATATGATTATTTGGAGAAGATTTTAGAATTTAGCTATTCTGATTTGTTTTCCTTCCTCCCTTCCCTTTTTTTCCCCTGCTTGCAGAAACTTGCCAGCAAGGCATTATGAAGTTGAGCAAAAGATGTTATCTAAAGATAAAGTAGGAGTACATTAGTAAAGAAAGGCACTAAAGGTAGCAAAGATAATACATGCCACAATTAATTAATAATTTCTGTCCTATTTCTTCTTTATTATTATTCAGATATTTAATCCAGAAGGGGTTTGGGGACCAAATTATCTAGGTAATTATTTTGGTACTCCATTGCATTTATGCAAACACAGACATTAAGTGAAACTTTAAATTAAAAAAAAAACGGGCCGGCCCAGTGGTGCACTGCTACAGTGTGCCGCTTGGGAGCACGGCAGCGCTCCCGCTGAGGGTTCGGATCCCACATACAGACCGGCTGCTCACTGGCTGAGCGAGGTGCGGGCGCAACGCTGAGGGTTGCGATCCGTTGCCGGTCATGAAAAAAGACAAAAAGGAAAAAAAAAAAATTTTAAAAAAAAGTATGGAACATATGTGTTGCAAAAACTATCATTGAATATATACATGTAGGTAAACACGCCATTGTACTATGTGTTATTGAAGTATACACAAGCAAGCAAAGGATAATCAAAAATTTCTGAACTGGTATAAAGGACTTATCTGTTTGTTTAGAAATTAAGATTTTAGGTTGCTTCCAATACTTTTTAAAAGGCTATTTAATGTATAGATAAATTATAATTCAATGTAAAGTGAAGAACATCTTTAACTCAAATTCTTAGTACTTTGAGGTAATTTCTGAAAAAAGCTTTAAAAGACAATGTCCACAATTATAATAAAAAACATTTATTATAAAAATTATCACATTTCTCTGTACATAACATAAAGACAAAAACACAATTTATACACTAATAATTTAAGTGGGCCTGAGCATTCAGTATCCATCAACTAAAATCCTAAAGATCTTCCATAGATTTCACAAATATCAGTGTAGACTATTTCTATTTTATATAACTCCATGTACATGTTGATGTTATTGAGATACTGATATTTCTTTTTCTCTAGTGTTTTAAAGATAGCTCACAATGTTTGAGTAAATTAATTAATCAACTGCTTTAAATCTTTGGTAAATACAAGTATTTACATGCAAAAATGTTTAGGTCGAATTTCAGTGAAAAAACTGTGATGGCAAATAACCTATTGCAAAACAGTTTCATATAATCAATAAACGCAAGAACTGAAGTTCCACCATTAAGAAAAGTCACTGTCCATAAATTCTGATGATAAAATCTGAAACCCACAGGAGTTCAGGCTTCTATTGCCACTACCAGAAGCACCATAACACTAAGCCATCACAAAATTAAACACAAACGTGAAATTCAACATATAAACAGTAATGATTATTTTACAATGCAGAAAATCCTAGTTTTTTTTCTATATACCAGTTTAAACATTAATTTGACACAGATGAGTTTCTCATAAAAGGCTATTATCTTGTGAGAGCCATTCAAAGAAGCCATACTGCTTCGAAAGACACCAATTTATCCTCTTGTCAATAATTTATCTGTGAAGATATAGAACATTTACTGAAATAATTTGGGGGGAAAATAGAAAGTTGCCTGTCCCTGTCCTTCCTTCATTCCCAAAGTACCGTATTTCATTCATTAGCTCTCTCTATCAATGAATCACAAATGAATGTATCCTGGCATGAGAACCTCTTACTTCCAGGCTATTTGTTAAACAATTCTCCAAGAAGTATTTAAATTCTAATGTTCTTCAGCCATTTGATAATTACAATATTTTTAGAGACATATTAATGAGGGAGTGTACATAATATAATTAAGTATATTATAAATACATCTTTTTAAGCCTAGAAAATGGATGCCTTTGGATTACCATCATTTCAGGGTAGAATACCCCTTCCTACTGTGCACATTTAAAAATTTACCCAAGACTTAGGCACCTGGCAATGTGTTCACTTATCATGAAAAATGTGGACAGAAAATGCAGCATTATCAAGGAGCTTTTTTCTGAGTTTTTACTTAGGCCAAATGCCATGGCTGCAACTTTGAATAAAATGTTTTGAGTCACTTCTCATTCAAAGCGAATGTTATTTAGTCACCAGCCTTTCTTCCATAGAGCACATAAATAGATACAAAATTGTGCATTTACATACATTTCTAATCACAGCATAAACTAAGCTCTAATCTTTTGCATGGCAGGAAAATACTGGTATATGGACACTTGATATTCAATAAATACCAATATCTTCCGATGTCAACATGAGGCCTAAACATCACTCCATTGAAACTGCTACCCTATACCTTCACTTTCTTTCCCATTCTTGTTGATAAAGGGATGAAAAACTAAGGCTTATTTCTTTTTCAGGATTTGATATAAATTCATGAGTTATTCCACACTAAAGAATAAGGAGCTGGCCATCTGTTAATGCCTGTAGTCCTGCACCACGCTCCCTGCCTGGGTCACAGAAAAGAGCACCATTCCTCATTGGATCAATGTTCTGTTCAAGGACTTTTTGTTGTTGTCATTTATCTGTGAGGAAATAAGCGTTTGCACACAAACATTCAGGAAGCAGCACTGGTGTGGACCCACTTTGATCCCGTAAAGTGTCCTGAGTGTCCCTCTTCACAGGGCCACTTTTTCCTTTGCCAGATTCTTTGGTTCCTTGCTTGGGATACACCAATCGTCAGCCTCAGAGCTCATCTGATAATGTTTGAAGGCTGACTTGTTAAAGACTGGAAGTTTTTCTACAGACTCAGAAGATAAAGCCTAAAAGAAGAGGGGGAAAAAAAAAGACCAAAGAAATTATGCATGTTATGATTTGCAGTTGAAGTGATTATTCCAAATACATTCAGAGGTAAGTATTCAAACATTCAAATACGTTCATTTAATTGATTTAGTAATAAGAGTGCACCAGAGCCCACAGTGTGGTAGGCACTTTATAAAATAAAGGTAAAAAATAAATATTATCTCCACCCAATAAGGGCTGTAGAATTTGTGTTTCATATTTACATGTCTTTTGTTCAAATATTGCTGATGTGATAGAATTGACTAGCAAAGCTATTTTTTCCAGGGAAAACCTCTTATCTGTGATAAAGTAAGAGTCCTAATCTGATACTACTAATCAATTAAAAGGCTCTTTCCCAATAGTTTGAAGACTTTTGCTCATTTAAGAAATGAAAACATTAACGATTTCAGACAATCAAAAGCCATTTGGCAAATAATTCTAGTGCACAAAATGAGAGCCTGGAAGCTTAATGTTTTAGTTGCTAATATCTGTAAACATATAATCAGTTGAAATAGTTGGCAAATGATTAACAGAATCAGGACAGTGATCTTAAATAAATTGAAGCTTTATCAGAGATAGAAGAAAACATGCACCAAGTTTTAAAGTTCAAATGGGCAATGCCTGGCATCCTACTGATGCCTTGTGAGAAGTCAGTTTTCTTTTCCCTGGGTTTCTAATAAGGTCAGCTTAAGGTCTTGAATACCCTGATACTTGTTGTTTGCTAGGCTATTTTGTGCTAATAATATATTATTAGCATATATGTCTCATAAATTTAAGTAAAACAAAAGTACAGCTACTCTCACAGATGCCAGAAGGAGTTGCCTTAAAAAATTCCCATGAGCATGTCCTCACTCTAAAACTTTGGTAATGTGCTTCTTGGGAAACAATTTGCTTCACTTCAGGTAGGTAGCATGGCCTAGCTTCCTGTTTGGTAAGTGACTATATTAAATAATACCTGAACACACATCCACACAGACAACAGAATGACTTGTGGTCATTATTTGCATTAACTTAGTTTGGGGAATTCTGGACCATACAACTTGGGGCTGTAAAAAAAAGCAATCGTTTAAAAAGTATAATTTTTATTGAATTGAAAGAATACCTTTAAGTAGATGATAGCATCTGTTCCATATCCTGACAAAGAGTAGAGATTCAGATCTCCTTGAAAGTACTTGGCATAGAGACGAGAAATTGGCAAGCCGTAACCAAAACCAGCCTGTCAAGGAAGGAACGGTCATTGGTAAAGAAGCGGACATGATCGTTGGAATACAAAAAATAGGAAGGATTATTATCCTCGCTGTTACTGGTGTGCCTAGAACCTAAATAAATACCTTCTGCTTCCAATCAGAGACCCCATGTAGAACTGTTTTACCATTTTTAGCTTGCTTTATCATTCTTTCTCATATTCCTCGTGCCTAATTTAACTAAATTGATTAACTTGCCTAAATACTTCCTTGTAATCCCTGCTCTACATTTAGAACTGGGTGATTGGGATGAATTTAGCTATTTAATTGATCTTACCAAAGGAGCATTCCGGGAATTATCCATGACAGGTGTTGGTGCTGTGGAATATGTGTAACTAAACAGGCGGTCAATAATCCTCAGGGGAACACCACCTCCTCTGTCTGAAATCTTAAACAAACAAACAAGTTATCAGAGCTACACATTAAAAACAATATGCATTTGTCTACATAAAAATATCTTTCTTTCATTTGAAAGTCACCCAGTATACATGACTTTGGTCTATTGCCAAAAGCAGGGAGCTTTATTATTATTGACCCTTTTTAATTCTCTTGGGAGACCAAAATAAAAACAGAGAATGGTTACCTTAATCGTAAGGTCTTCTTTACCCAAGACAACAATCACCTCAATTGGTGTAAGGGAAGGCCTGTTTTCCTGGTGTTCCACTGTTGCCCTCATTGCATTCTAAGGAAAACAAAACCATAAGGAATTCAATGGCAGAAGAATGAGGAACAATAAATAACTATGTGTTTATGTTTAAAATAAAAGCAGCACAGAGGGTAATTCAAAATTCCTATTTTTTTAAGTTAGTAGTAAAACATCTCTGTAAATAGCCATTTGTGAATGTGTCATGCAGGATGTATAATGAAAAATATTCATTTACCATGTGATATAGCTCCTGGGAGTAATGTCTAATGGAAAAACAATTCTGCTAGTTGTCAAGTTCTTATTTGTAAGCTTAATTTAAATGTAGAAATTGGTTTTTATAGTCCATTTCCTAGCTCTCCGTTTTCTGTCTTTCCATTACATTTTACATTCAAACACCGAAGACTATTACCTAACAAATGAACAGTGAATCATTGAACCAATTTATTGGCTTTTATAAAATTTGCTGGGAAAAAGTTGTTACTATGTAAAAGGACAGTCAATAATTCTAAATTAAATTTAAATTTGCATTTGGTTATCATCTTAACTTTTACCAATGATGGCAAAATAACTCTATGAGTTGGATCATTCCATTTAAAAATAAATCAAATCAATGAAAAAGTATCTTTTGTCCTTTAACACAACAAACTAAAACAAGTTTTCAGACTACTGGATGAATCTCATACAGATAAAGTCTTGGTTTATTTAGCCCATTTTCCTGTCTAGCCCCTTTCTAGTAGGTTATCTGCTTTCTGGTTTCTAGTTAGCTGATGTGAAATAAAATAGACTAGATATTTATAGTACAATCAATATCTCGTTGCAGATTAGAATAAGTTAGGAACAGTAATTTACAAGGAGTTTTGTCAGAATTAAAGGTAGATTTCACTTTTTTTAGGCTTCCTCCTCTCCAGTCCAAGGGACTCTTGGGAAGCATCACAAAGCTTCAGGTGTTCTTCTATTATTATTATTATTATTATTATTATTATTATTATTATTATTATTATTTTGGTTTAAGTTAAGAGATTTAGTTTGATTTCAGAACCCATGAAAGGATTTGATTCTTAGCACATGGCTACCCCACTCCAGACTTACTGAATCAGAATTTGTATTTTAACAAAGTGTCCAGGTGATTCTTATGGACTTTAAAGTAGATGACTGAAAGAAGTGACTCCTCTGAGCATATTCTAGACTCATAATGGGGCCATGCCACCTACAGTAGTAATTCTGGACCTGAACCTCTGAATTTGGAGTTGGACCAGCCTGTGGGGGTAGAGGTAACAAGCCCTCATTCACTGAAGCATTCTCCATATGACCTCTCTTAATGAATGAATGAATCATTAGTGCTTTGGTGGACACCTGGAAAAATAATGGGAACGTCCTCTCAGCTTTAAAGCATTGAGACAGCATGAGTCATATTGTACATTCTCAAATACATATTGATGCTACAATGAGCTGCATGCACTCTTTCAAACATAGACTATGTAGCTTCCTTCTTTTAGGAGCACAGAAGCATCCTTGGGAAAAGATACTGAGGCTCCAGCTTAGTGGGAAATGATGAAGGAAATAAAAATATAATGAGTGAACTTTTCTAAAAGACAAAATTGCAATTGTTTTGAACTTTCATACCTTGAATAGTTCAAAGAGCATATGATGAAGGTGAGAAGGAACATACACAATATGAATTGGTTGGCCTGGAGATTTTCCTAGAAAAAATAAACTCATTTAGAATTGGGAAATGAATATTTTACTAAAATAAACCTCCATATTTATTTGACTAATTTTTTAGACTTAAACAGTGTTGGGATATTCTCCATCTTCCCCACCCCAAAATCCTGCCACAGAACTTTCCCACTTAAATAGTAAATATGACTGGCTTATTTTCAAAATGCTGTTACAGTTGCTACCTAGTGCTCTATGATTAATTTTAATATTTCTCTACAAATGTATAAAGTTGGATGAAGTGTGATACAATGGTGCTATAAATAAAATTATATGCATTATTTATTTCTATTTTGAATACATTTGTACTGGACAATTTCAGAGTTAAAATTATATGCACTTTAAGATAGAAGAAAAAATAACTGCTTATAACATTGAAATTAACACTAGATATAATTTTCATATTTTTCATTCATGATAAAATAACACATTTGATTTTTCTTGTTTTTTATATCATGCAAACATTAAATCTTATATGCTAAATATACTTAAATTTCACCAAGAGGCTAAAGAAAACAGAAACCAAAACCTCCTAATACTCTTTGAAAAGAAAAATAAGAGTACTATTCTTCAGTGTTGCAGGCCTTGGCAAAGTTTGAATCAGAAAACACAAGGTCTGGCACAATCCCTCTTTATTTTATCTAACAGTTCAAGCAGTTTATCTACAAGTATTATGCAACAACATTGTTTATGCTTAGGGATTTTTTTCAATCTTTGTTTGTGCTCCTACTTTTAGTTTAGCACACATGTCCCCAATCTATTGCACAATTTGAGTGACTTGATTTTAACTCTCAGCACTAACAGAAGTTGTTCCTGTATAAATATTACTTGGAAAAGATGTCTACTTTAAATGAAATAATTAGTCCAATTTAAGGATACTATCTTGAACTATCCAATATAAGGATACTGTCTTGCTTTGAGATGCAACTGTCTTCTAGAACAGAGTGAGACAGGATAAAAACGGTGCCTTGCGTTCATCGTGTAGTAACTGCAGTCAGTGTGGGAAGACCTTGTCTTGTCAGATTCCCTAGAGTTGAAGCTTTTGAAGTATGTTCCGCTTGCAAAACAGTGATGTATACTTACAGTGCAATTTTTAAAAATTGTGGTAAGAACATTTAACATGAGGTCTACCCTCTTAAAAAATAATTAAGTGTACAAAACTCATACAGTATTGTTAACTATAGACACTATGTTCTACAGCAGATCTCTAGAACTTATTTATCTTGTATAACTAAAAATTTATGCCTCTTGAATAGCAATTCCCTACTTCCCTCTCCCTGCATCCCCTAGCATCCACCATTTACTCTCTGCTTCTGTGAGTATGACTGTTTTAGAGACCTCATATAAGTGGAATTATGCGGGGGCCGGCCTGTGGCTCACTCGGGAGAGTGCGGTGCTGATAACACCAAGGCCACGGGTTCGGATCCCATATAGGGATGGCCGGTTGCTCACTGGGTGAGCGTGGTGCTGAGAACACCAAGTCAAGGGTTAAGATCCCCTTACCGGTCATCTTTAAAAAAAAAAAAGTGGAATTATGCAGTATTTGTCCTTCTGTGACTGCTTATTTCTTATAGTGCAATTTAAAGTATTTTTGTTTTCATATGTTATGCATAACCTCTTTAGGAGGATATCTCCACTGCTAAGTGGTTCCCTCTACTTCTGTTCTCCTTATTTCTCATATTCTGTAGTAAGCAATCTTTCCTTGATCTAAGATATTGGAACCTAGTTGCTACTCTAAATCCCAAATTATTTGCTCAAACAATTTGTCTTTACGAATTGTAATTAGCAACTGAACGTTCTTAATAGGAGTTTTCCAGTCGAGATAGTTTAAGAGAACTTTGGCTTAAAAAAAATTATACAAATTCTAGGCGAGTTTAGAAGGGAAAAAAAGGAACACAGAAGTTGCTTTATATTTAGTGAAAATAAATCATTCTGGAAGAATACTGAACTTTCTATTTGGTTAAAATATATTTTGTTTATAGCTTACCATTCACTTGTGTGAGCTTTAATTCTGGAGATGTTAAATAATACTGGTCACAAAGCATTCTTGAACACTCGAAGGCATCTGGAATAGATTTTTTTATTACAATGAAATGAATTTATGCCAAGTATAGTTCTCAAGTAATCTTCAGTGTGTACACTACCCTTAATCTAAAATATTTATATATATAAAAAAGCCTTTTTAATATTTTATTGAATAAAAAATTAAGACTGTCTAAGTTGTAGTTGTAGCAATAGAAAGAAACATGCACACTTCAAAGATCAAGTGCAATATATAAGAATATGGCACATTGGCCACTTATGTTTGCATTTTTTATAATATTATAAATAACTGTTTACACTCCTGACTCTCAAAAGCAAAGGAATTGGTAACAGCATTTATAAAAATATACATGGAACACACTGTGAATATAAATTAATTCACAAAGTCGCCTCAATTACAGATGAGTCAATCACATATTGTACATTTTTAATAAGGAATATGCAGAAATCTAGAAATTACCTTGAACCACTGCTGCCACATCACAGTTTGGATCAATGCTTCCAATGTGGGTTGGGTTTCCTGTCTGTGAGTCACTAAATATAAGAACTGTTGAAAAATAAAAACAAAAAGTATTGTTATAAAAATGAGGAAAATAATGATTAGACTACCACTGAGAAAGAATGTGACCCACCAATTAGTGAACCAACTAGTTATGCAGTTGTATTCTGTACCCATCTCTATATATATCATGATCACGATGAGCTAACTTACTGTGCTGGTTCATCAGCATCCGTGTAGAAATACGGTTCATGTAAAAACGATCCAAAAAATACTGAAGATTTTGATTTGTGACTGGGTCAACCATATAACCATCTTTATATTCTATGATTCCTTGTGCCATCGTAGGGACTACATCATGGTGTCTATTTCGAACTTTGATGAGTGTATCTACAAAACTAAGCCATAACATTTACAGTTAGTAGAAGTTCAAATAAGTTTCATTCACTTATACTCCTTAGATTACTTCAAAGAAGGCTTTTTGTGGTACCTGTTTAAACAAATCAAATGATAAAATGTTAGGGTGCAGCTTTATTAGTGCTCTCACTATAGATTATTGCACTACAGAAGAGGAGATAGTTTCCTACACAGATTTATTTTGCTTTTTTGCTTATATATAAACTACCAGCTTTGTGACTGCTGCATTCATTATAGGTGCTCATTAAGCCTTCTCTTTAAAAAATAGTATATAATACAGAAGATGACTCTAGAGTACCACCGTGAAAAAAATGTTCAAACTTTCTTGTCAGGTCAAGAGAAGATTTTTATTTAGGTAGCTAGAAACTGTCAGTTACTCTGAAAGAAAATGTTTCATCTCCAAAGACACTGAAATGTATTAAAGTTAATGTAAATCTTCTTGCAAATCTAATCATCAAACTTAATTTGTAGTAAAAATAGGTTTCCTAAAACAACCCAAGTCCTCTACATTTGTTTATACTTGGCATAATTTTCAACGCCATATTCCTTTGTTTCTAAAAACTCACCAAGCCAAAACTTGTCATCTGTAAGAGGATAGTAATTTACTACTCAGGGTTGAAGTTCCTTTAACTTAGGTCTAAAAATATCTTAGGAGTATGTCTGAAATAGCCAAAGTTTTAAATATTTATTCTAACGGTTGCAACTTACTCTGATAAGGCTTTCTGGTCATCTGGACTTCTCTCATGGAATTCCACCAAATCCATCAGGCTCTGGATATACCTATAAAGCAACAGATGTGCTTTAAGTTTAAAATTATTAGTGAGATACAAATGGCTAAAACTACAGTACCCTTTTCAAATAATTTGAAAAGAGAAAGTAAGCATTTTGTTTAAAATTAAAATTTTCCTCTAAAACAATTAAAAAATAACATGTTAAAGAATTTTAAAAGCTACAACTTTTAACTCTCAACTTTCCAAGGTAAAATTTAACTTAAAATGTTTCTTTGTCTTGTATGGCAAAAGTGTTCATTTCTTATAGCAAAAACACTTATAAACGAAAATTTTAAAAGGGTTTCTTATTTTTTTCTACTATATTCATTTGTAGGGGAGTAGAAATCTTGAAAGCAGCAGGAAATACTACAGATTGAATAAGTGTTTCAAATTGTAGTTGTTTTATGAGTATATAATACATATATTTCTGGAGTCAATAACAAAAAGCCGTGCAGTCAGTGGGTTAGAGTAAGGCTCTGGTGCCATCTGCCATAGAGCATACCTCGGCTCTGTTCTTGAAAATCTGCTTATTTGGTTAACTATCTGCTGTAAGTATGAATATCACTATTTGTAAAATGAGATTATATCTCACACTGAGTGCTGGCTGTGTGCCAGGTACTATTCTACTTTATTTATTTATTTTTAATGGATTACCTCACTTGATTACACTCAAACATCCCTTTGAGGCATAAACTTTATTCTCCTGAATAACAGATGGGGGAATTGAAGCATAGAGAGTTTGAGACACTTGCCAAGGATTCCACAACTAGGAAGTAGCAGAGGCAGGATTTAAACCCAGAGTCCACTCCATTAATCACTTTATAAGTAATAAAGATTAGGCCCTCCCTAAATAGTAGTCATTTGAATCTGTTTCTAGGCATAGGATTTCTTTTGCAATATCAAACTTTTGCCTTTTATTATTTAAAGTACAAAATTAGAATTGCATACGGCAATCATTTTTCAAATGTTCTTTTCTTCTAGGAGTCAAATTTATATTGTAAAAGGACCTGCATTTTCAGAGTAAAAATGTCTGTTTATAGTTTTATAACTGCCCTAATGATAACACATCCTAAGTTAACAAAAAAATTAACAAAATAATTATTTACATTTTCAAAAGTATTTACTCTTCAGACCACCTGTTTGCCAATTACCGTGTTAACATAGTATAAAAAGCCATACTCAGGTAACTTTTAAAACTAGAGACTTCAAAATGGTTCACCACTTACCAGCTTTTAACCAGCTGCACTGAAGAGGTATTTACTAACTGATCTGGAAGGATATCAATTTCTTTCAGGATATTGGCTAGCCTCACAGGCAATTCTTGTCGCAAAAATGCAAAAGAAGTTCTTTCACATGCATTTTCTGAACCTATAACAAATAAAATTTATTTAGTTTTTGGAAAATAGTATGTCTAAATGATGTATTCGAATAGCATTAAGTATCAAATATTGAACACGTATATATTATAAAATTATATTTCACTCTCAGTTGGATTGCTGTTTATAGATAATTCAGAAGCAGTTATCTTCTTCATTCTCTCTCTCTCTCTCACACACCAATACAGGAGAATTGTTTTCTCCTTTTGAAGAGAATTCACTTCTCAGAAGTCACAATATCCCACAGTTCATAGTATTGGTAGAAGAATGCAGGATTCAATCAACACCATGATGTAAGGAGGCAATATTCTTTAAGGACTTTAGACATGAAATCGGAGTCAGGGGTGAAGTGGGAGTCGTAATGTTTCCAGACTAGTGATAAGTAATACCACATTTAAACCCTTGAAATTGTTCTTATAAGATTACTGCAGCAAGTGTGTATTTATAGCAGTAATGCAAATATATGGAAAATTATAATGGTAAAGAGACAAAAAAAAAATCTGTTAGGAATGCAGAGAGTGGAGCGATGCAGGGCGACTAAGGGATAAAATCTGTTAATCTGAGGCTACTTTATTAGGACTCTTCTACAAGCACCATGCTGTGAAGGAGGGGGTAAAGTTTCTAGTCCATTGTTAAATGGTGACTGAAAGCAAAAAGTATTTCGACTGGAAGATCTGGGCAGAAAGAAGAGGAAAGGTGAGGTCAAACCATCCCGTATCAGCAGGGTTGCAGGTGGCCATGACCTGCAGGCACAAACTATCAGAAAGCAGTCAAATCAGGCCAGGTGTGCTGCCATCATACCTTGCCCCCACGGCTCAGCAGCCCAGTGGCCCCAGTTGTCTTAGTTGTGAGTCCGGCCCTCCCTATCCCTATCCCGGGGCGGAAGGTGAAGGCAGCTTCCCAGCCCGGGCTCTATGTCCCCTCTCACCAAAGTCCAGCAGCTGCTTCATGGACAGCGGGGACGGGCTGTAGCGCGAGAAATGCTCCACCTCTCGGGGGACCAGGCCGGCGCCGCTCAGCGAGCCGGCGCTGCGCATCACGAAGCGGGCCGCCTTCATCGTGACGCCCGCCGGGCCCGGCGGGGACAGGGGCGGACTTGAGGCGCGGAGGCCGCCGGAGCAGAACCCGGTCCGAGGAGGGGGCGCGGCGCGTCCGGCGGGACAGCGGGGGGTGCGCTAGCCGGGCTCACCGCCCCGGCCTGGGCTGGGCTTCGGCGGCGCCGCGGGAGGAGGAGCCGGGCAGGGAGAGGGAGACGCAGGAGCTCGAGGTGCAAGTCCCGGTCTCCCCAGCACCCGCCGCCTCCCGCGCTTTTATTTGTTTCCCCGCACTCTCCCCTCACCCCACCCGGGAGGAGTCACCGGGACTTGGAGACTATCCTGAACCTGGGCCCCGCCCCTGGCCGCGGTCCCCGCGAGTGGCCTGGCACCGGTGCCCGGGGCCGAGAGGCGCAAAGCGTGGGAAGGAGGCCGGGAGGGAGGAAGCTGCAGCGGACACTGGGGCGACGTGGGCCACGACGAGCCCCTTGGGACGGGGCCGCGGGTCGCGTGGGCTGGGGGCCAGCCCAGACTCGTCCTTGTTTACAAGTCCGAGGCTGTCTCAATGTCACGCACCCGCCCCCCCCAAACTATTTCCAAGAATCTGGGCTCCGATAGCTCATTGGTCCTTGCTCAGAGCGGGACTTTTACAGTAGCCAATCAGGTACTTTAGAAAATAAGGGCTTCTCTGCCATTGGACAGCGAAAGGGAAAAACAACCTAAAGCGCTCTCACCGGGTTTCTCCAGAAGACAACAGCGCACAGCGGGGACTGGAAGTTCTTTTGCTCAGACTTAAGGGGCTGCCCGAATACGTTTACTTTTTCCTGTGGTGATAAAAGATCATCAATTTCTCTCCAGCAACACGTTCTTTCCATTAGGTTTAACTCTTTTCAGTAAAAGCAGAACAAGAAAGGGATTGATTTGTCAGTTTGACTCACTTTCCTTTTCTCCCATCAGATAATTTGTGCGCTTTGTCCCCCTGTATGAAACATCCTTACCCCAAATCTTCGCCTAAGACATCCTCAAATGTCCTGCACAAACTGCTCCAAGAGGTGTTTCTTGACTGTTTCTCCCACCTCCTTCTTTCAAGTATGGCCTTTGTCACTCATGGCCTTATATTGTAGCTATTTATGTTCTTATATGATCTCTCCTTGACCCCCCTTCCCTGAAAGAGATCTGGATAGGGACCGTGTCTGATGAATCTTTGTGATTTCTACCCTGCTTTGTCACGACTCAATATTGTTGAATAAATGACAGAGGTTGAAACACATTACCCTGTCGTAAAAGTCCCATACTAACCTCCTTTCCCTCTCTTGCCATACTCTAAAGGGACTAGGGAATGAAGACATTGTGTTTTAGGGAAGGCGAGAATAAGAGAGTTGATTACAAATGCAATGGAATGGGAACTAATGGAGTGGTAAAACGGTGGTTTTTAATACAAGATCCCCTTTGGCCTCTTGCTCCTGCATCTATAAGCAGAACGGGGAACTCTGAAAGTCACGGGTGATACTAGGCTCCATTGTCACTCTCTGCCCTCTTTCTCTAGGAGATTTTAGTCACAGGACGGATTCCCAATTTCTATCTCTAGTGCAAACTCTCCCCTGAGTGCCAGACTCCTGTATTCAGCTACCTATTTGAGTTCTCCACTTGTATGTCTAAAGAGCATGAGTTTTGCTCCTCTCAAATCCACCACCATTATTGGGCATCTGAACCAGCCCTGGCAAACCCTCTATTACTTGTGTGGCCTGTGCAGAGGCATCATATTAGCTCTCCTACTGTTTCCATCCTTGTGTGTGTATAGTAAATAGTTGCTGTAGATCGAATGGCCCCCATTCCCAAACTCACTGAAGCTCAAACCCCACTGTAACAGTCCAGGTTGGGAAATCCTATTATGGTAATTGAAAGGTGGGACCTTGAAGAGGTGATTAGATTGTGAGGACTATGCCCTCACGAATGGATTGATCCATTCTTGGAATAATGGGAGTGGTTCTGCTGGCTTTAAAAGGAGAGTGAATGAGGAGATTAGTCTCTCTCTGCTCTGCCATTTTGCCATGTGACACCTCTGCATCGCTGTCACCACCACCAAGGCCTTCGCGCTGGACTTTGGACTTCCCAGCCTCCGAAATTGTAAGCAATAAATTTTGTTTTCTTATAAATTACCCAGTTTCAGGTATTTATGTTATAAACAACAGAAATGGACTAATATAATAGTCAACGTTTGTGACTTCCCTTTGTGAACAAATATTTTGCTTAGACCTATGAGAAACAGCCCTGTGAAGACATTCAGCATTCACAATCTTCCAGTGATGAGGGTGGGCTTAGGTTCTTAGAGACATTGAGGGATGATCCTGGAGTGAACAAAAAGACTCCAGCAATTGCACCTGGATAAGGCAGAAACAAACCAAAAACATAACAGCTCAGGCACTTATCTTCAGCTGAAACCATGTGGGAACGTGGACAAGTTTCAAATGGCATCTCTACTTCCAGATAGGTTTTGATACCAATATAATTTATATTTTTCTACTTAGGATTCTTTATTAAATATTTACATAGCTTGATGAGACAAAGAAATGTGTTCAAGAAGCCAAAATACTAAATAAGACTCTTTGATGAAGCAAGTAAATTTAAGGTAAAAATTTCTTTTCTTTTTTCCTTAATGACATCCTAAGAAGGAAAGAAAAAAAAAGCATGCATTTGCTCTCCCCCCCCCCCTCGCTTGTGTGAGATCTGGAATAGGCAAAAATATATATTACAAAGAATTATATTCTAATGTGTGGTGAAAAGGCAATGGGAATTATGCATTGCAGGCAGGTTTAATTTAGGAAAGTCCCAGTTCCCTAAGTCCACCGAGTTGCTGGCCTGGCTTATCCAGTGCTACTGCTCTGTATGAGGTGAATCGAAGATCAGGTGCAGTCATGTGATGTTCACAGAGATGGCTAAGGACTGAATGTGAACTGAGGTCACCAAAATTTTGCCTCAATGTCATCTCATCCAATTATATTTACCAGATTACTCTTATAGTACATTGCATTCTTCTATGTCATTTCTGTATGATGGGAACTGTTGTTATAATTGGCAACACTTATGGTAGCTGGGCTGGAATGGTCAGGTCAAGTTGTTTACCCAGTTGGCTAAGATGCTCTGTATTACCATGATTGGAGAGTGACCTGGAAAGAGAGAGGCACTTCTATTCTCAGGTGACCACAGATTTTTTAGGTGATCCAGTTGGGACAAAGGTAAAGCAACAACATTATCAGGTGGGAATGGGTATGGACAAATCCATGCATTTATTTGAGTAAAGGCAAACCATGAAAAGGCTATTACATGATTTAGTGCTGGGGTGGGGGGCGGTAATCAAAGCTGCCGCCCTGCAGACAGTGCTCAACACAGCATCCCTGCTTGAGACACCTGATCCCTGAAGTTTCCAGGACACTCTTACCTAGCATTAAATGAATTCTGTCTACCTTGCCTGGCAAAATCTAAGAACATAATCCCGCTGGTAGAGCTATGAGAATACAAGTCACAATTTTGCTAGAGGGTGGGGGATGTTCAATTTGAAAAAATATATCAGGACTGTTAAAGAGAAGCCCATTCGATTTTTCCACCACTAGAAACATTCAAAGGAAGTAATGAAAAACACACGTAACAGGAACTCCAAAGTCATAATGAAAAGATGAACAGATTTGACCACTGAATATTGAAAGTTAAAAAATAAAGAGAAGATTTGGAGAAAATATTTGCAAGATATGCAACAGACAAATGATTACATAAGAAATGGCTGTTTTATTAGGGAACAAAATAGTCATCACATGTACCCTCATGGTAATTATACACTTGCAGGGAAATAGGCATGATAGAAGCCTAGACATTAAATGAAGACAAGGGCTATGAAGAAAATGGACTCAGAGAATGTAATGGTCTGGAACTACCTTAGATTTGGAGACCAGGGAAGTTCTCCCTGAGAAATGGACAATTAAAAGAGATGGAGCACGGGCACTAGGGTGAGGGCTGACCTGGTTGACTTTTGGTCCCGGAGTCACTCCCTCACTTCTAAATCTCGGAGGAAGTTCTTGCCTGGGGCTCAGATTCCATGAGAAGGCCAGGACAGTGGCAATCAGGACAGTGGCAATGGAAGGACCGGAGGATTCGGTTCTGGTCCTGGGGGAAGCAGTAGATCCAGAGGGAGGAGGCATGTACCCAGGCACTGCTGCCTTCTCCATCTGCTGTGTGACCTTGGACAGCTTGTTTATCGTCTCTGAGCCTTGATTAATAAATGAGATTAAAAAAAAGATGGGGCAGCCTTCTATTGGGAATGAGAGAGAATAGTGGTGAAAGCATATTAGTGAAGATGTTGGGGAAAGCAGGGCCTAGTCACCATTTGGCTTCTGTTTTTTATAATTGGTGTTAACCTAAAGCATAGTGGTTACCAGGAGCAGAACTAGATGCCTTGTTGGGTGCAAAAACAATTGTTCTCAAGTAACTCAGACTAATAGTGCATGATGGAATACAGTAGCCAATTATTTTTCAATTTATGATTTTCACTTAGTCCTCAGGGCAAAAAGCTATAATTCAATGCATTTTTAAAACAGTTCATGAGAGGTTCAATCAATGAGCCACACTGGCTGTGGTGGTGTTGGTGGTGACAGTGATGGTGCCAGACAGTGGCGATGCCAATGGCACTCAGGGTTGTTTGGGGAAGAGCTATGTTGGGGATCAGGGAATGCTCCCACTGAAAACTGGCATTTGGAATGACCAGTGAAGGATGAGCAAGATTTCAGCAAACTGGTAGATAGTGGGAAAGAATGCCAGTGCCTGGGCAGAAGCACAGATGCAGGAGCTAGGGATATATTGGACAAGCAATGACTAGTTTAGTCTGCTGTCTAGATGACCCCAGGGAAGAGCGAATGGGAGATCAGGATTATATCATGAAAACCTGAAATCCAGGTATGAGGACTTTGAGATTCCTGGAGTAGGCAACATAAAACTGATGAAGCTTTTTAAGCAGGGAGAAATGTGTTCCCTGCTCAAATTTGTTAACAGCTAAACAATCAATTCAACTAAACTTTATTGAACACCCACTGTGTTCTAGGCACTATGATAGATGCTGGGAGCGGGAAGATGAAAAAGATAAAGTCCCTGTCTTCAAGGATGGGAGAAAGACATGGAAATAATCTAAAAAAAAAAGGGTCCCTGGAGACCACGCGGGAGGCAGCGCCATTCACCCCTGGCTCTGAAGACCCCGCCACGGC